TCCTCAGCTGAATTTGCTCAGGGGCCCCAGGCTTTGGAGGCTCAGAGTGCTCAGAGAAATAAGCCAGACCAGCGCTCCCCAAACTGTCAAGGTGCACAAAAGTCACCCAGGACGGGCTGACCCCATCTCACCAACTCGGGGTCTCCGGGGGTGGGACCCAGGCATCCGCGGAAAATCACAGCTCCCCAGATGGTTCTAGGTTGAGAGCAGTGCCTCTCCACGGCTTCTGGAGCGGAAGATCAGGGACCCCGCCCCCCTTCTGTTGGTTGGGACAATTCTCAGGAGTGTAACCCCCTTCTACTTGGTTGTCTATCCCTGGTGGCCCAGTTTCCCATGGCGCCCCCTAAAGGCTGCCTTCTCGTCGCTGTTTCTCTTTTCTGTGGCGCGTGCTAAGATCATACCCCTCAACCCCATCATCCGCTTGGGCTGCTGACAGATATCAGTCTGTGATGGGGGCCTTCTTGCCCATAGATTGCTTTCTGCTTTTTTTTTTTTTTTTTTTGACAGGCAGAGTGGACAGTGAGAGAGAGAGAGAGAGAAAGGTCTTCCTTTTGCCGTTGGTTCACCCTCCAATGGCCGCCGCGGCTGGCGCACCGCGCTGATCCAAAGGCAGGAGCCAGGTGCTTCTCCTGGTCTCCCATGGGGTGCAGGGCCCAAGGACTTGGGCCATCCTCCACTGCACTCCCTGGCCACAGCAGAGAGCTGGCCTGGAAGAGGGGCAACCAGGACAGAATCCGGTGTCCCGACCGGGACTAGAATCCGGTGTGCCGGTGCCGCAAGGCGGAGGATTAGCCTATTGACCTGTGGCGCCAGCTGCTTTCTGCTTTAAAACTGAACTCTCCATCTAACAGGAGGCCTGGAACAGCAGACTTTTTGGGCGCTACTGGCTTGGACATTCCAAGTTGTCGTGGGTACGAGGCGCCGGGCAATCAATTTTACACACGTAACTTGGTATTTTTCCAAGCACATCTTCTTCATTGACTCACTGAGGTTAACCATGGCTGCCCATTAATGTTATTGAAGAGGATGGAATAAAATTGTAGCCATAGAAGGCAGAATTCGTGCTCCCTTTCTTCACATCCCAGCAGTGGCAATCATATATGTATCTGCACTTCCAGCCTGCTGGGGGCAGAGTGTACTTCCTGCTTCCTGGTGCTGGTCTTTGCCATGTGACTTGCAGTGACCAATAGGACATTAGCAGATATGATGCAAGTGACAGTTTGAAGGGAGCTGTGCTGTTAGGTACACGCTGTGCTTTCCTCGTTGCACATGCCTTTCTTTAGGTCACCGCTGGTTCTAGAAGCACGGGGAGCATCCTTTGGAGATTTGAAACCATTCTGTGGCTTGCAGTCAAGCCTGGCCAAACCCACTTAGATCAGCCAAGCTCTACTTAATCTGCAGGTATTGTGTGCTGCGAGTTTTGTCACATGGCTTTACTGTGGGAGTGGCTAGCGGATTCAGTATTCATGGATACACCCAGCACAGGGCTTAGCATGTTGTAGGGGGTCAGTACCTGCCAGTTCCAGTCTCTCCCCAGCACATACAGTAATGTGGAGGCCAAGGCATGGCCTTGATTCTTTTTTTTTTTTTAAAGATTTATTTATTTATTTGAAAGTCAGAGTTACACATAGAGAGGAGAGGCAGAGAGAGAGAGAGAGAGAGAGAGAGAGAGGTCTTTCATCCGCTGGTTCACTCCCCAATTGGTCACAATAGCTGGAGTTGTGCTGATCCAAAGCCAGGAGCCAGGAGCTTCTTCCGGGTCTCCCATGCAGGTGCAAGGGCCCAAGGACTTGGGCCATCTTCTATTGCTTTAGCAGGCCACAGCAGAGAGCTGGATCGGAAGTGGAGCAGCTGGGACTAGAACTGGCGCCCATATGGGATGCCGGTGCTTCAGGCCAGGGCGTTAACCCACTGTGCCACAGCGCTGGCCCAGCCTTGATTCTTATCCCTCAAATCAGACTCCTAGATCAAGACCTTGCAGCGAGACCCGTGCTGGGATGGAAGTTCCAGCCCACAATGGTGCCTCCCACCCTGGGCATTCCTTTGTTTCTCATGCAGCTGTGGCCAGAGAGGGGGACCTCTGCAAAATATTAACTCCTCCTGGAACACCTCTTTTAAAGCAAGTCCAAGTCCATCTCTGTCTGAGCTTTCCTAGACGCCAGCCACAAAGGCCTCCCTTCTTGTCTGTGTTTCTTGCTTAGCTCCTGGCATAATCTGTCTCCTACCATTTCACTTTCCACCTGCCATCATTAAAGATAACTCTATCACAGTAGTCAACATTTTCTTTCTTTTAAAATTTTTTTTATTTATTTGAAAGACAGAGAGAGAGAGAGAGAGAGGGAGAGAGAGAGAGAGAGATAATTGCATTCATTGGTTCAGTTCCCATATGGCCACAATGTGCTGGGGCAGGCCTGGGCCAAAGCCAGGGACCCGGAACCCCATTTGGTCTCCCACGTAGTGGCTGTGGCCCAAGTACTTGGGCTTTCTTTTGCTGCTTCCCCAAGCACATCATCAGAGAACTAGATCAGAAACAGAGCAGCCAGGACATTCTGATATGAGATGCCAGTGCTGCAAGTGGCAACTTAACCTGCTTTTTTTTTTTTTTTTCTTTTTTTGGTAGTCAACACTTTCAACACCAGTTGCATACCAGGCACTATGCTAGGTGCTCAACACAAATATTTGTTCAAAAGTCAACACATCCAAGGGAGAGCACATTAACACTTGATTAACAGACTGTCCAGTGGTTTTGAGTCTCATGTGAGTCCATGTTCCAAAAGCTCAATTAACTTTGAAAATGTATTTTTAAATAGTCAACACATCCTTATGATATACTTGATGGAATTACTCCCATTTTACACAAAAGGAAACTGAGGCCTACAGGGATTTGGCCACAATTGACCCTAAAGCCATCCTCTTACTCTCACCCCATAGCCAACTTGGTCTCTCTGATGGGACTGTCAGGTCCTTGAGAGAAGACATGGTACTGGATCAGCTTGCTGGACACGTCATCTGCAGTAGGCACATGGCTGTCATTTGGTGAGTGGCTGACAGGAGCCTGTAAGGGGTGTTTATGTTAGGGGCAGAGCTGGCTCTGCCAAGTAGTAGAAGGATGTTTGGCGCAATCATGAGTCTATATGGATGGTCCCATGTTGTAGAAGGGTTGAGGTTGGGTGGGGTGGGAGAGCAGAGAGGCTGTAGAGGGGCCCAAGCACCCTAAGTTGGTTCCTGGACAAGGTCCTTGTACAACCATGTCCTCTGAGGCTCTCAAACCATTGTGTCAGACCCTGGCAAGAGCATCCTTTTTTTCCACTGTAAGAGAAAGTTGTCCACTGGCCTTGGCTGTATCTAAGGGGGACCCTTCAGAATGATCCTGGAGTGAAGATTCATGGGAGTGCCATTGGGGGAAGCCAGGAAGGGGGTGACAGAAGCAGGCTAGGGTGGTGAGAACGCCAAGCCAGGGCCATCTCAGGTGGAATCCCATTGAAGCTGGCTTCAGCAGGTCCCATGGAGGTGCCCTAGACTATGAGGGACCCCTCTGAGCTCTCTTGACCCAAGGCAAGGGACCTGGACTTTCCAGGCCCAGTGGCCACAGCAGGAGAAGCCCTCCAAGGAGGAGCCCCAGGTGCCCAGTGTGGGAAGCAAAAGCACTTTGAGCTGGGAAAGGTCAGGGACACGATTGGCAAAAAGGGATCCAAGACAAAGGGTGGGGGACCAACAGTGCCTGCTTGGGGGGTGGGGTCCAAGGGTCAACTCTCTCCCATACCCTAGAGGTCCCTCTGCCCTGACCCTTCCACGAGATGTATTTTTGCTTAACTTATGCAATGCTGACTGCTCAATGTCAAAGTTTTTGCAAGAGTGGCCAGCATTTAAAATCCCAGGCAAGTTCCACCAAAAAGTCCAGGCCTCTGTCTCCTCTAGGAGAATCAGCCTTCTTAGCAGAGGCCCACATATCCACATGGCCACAGCTGGTGGATGCCAGAGTCCACCCAACCTGAGTAGTTTTGCTTGGTGGCCTTGAATCCACAGTCCCCACTAATCTCTATTGTGTCCCCAAACCGTGGGCTATCGTTTTTCTTATTTCCCATAAGAAAGAGAAAGGCTTTTGGTATTCACATCTCCAGAGTGGAGCAGACATCCCTAGGCAAGGATGGGTAGCATGAATAAAAGATGTGTCTGTGTCAGGAGCAGAGTTCAGGGGCCAACGTTGTGGCCAAGCAGGAGCAGCTGCCTGCGACATGGGCATCCCATACGGTGCCAGTTCGAGTCCCAGCTGCTCCACTTCCAATCCAGCTCCCTGCTAATGCACCTGGGAAGGCAGCAAAAGACAACACTAGTACCTGGGCTCCTGCTGTCCTTGAGGGAGACCAGGATGGAGTGCCTGGCTCCTAGCTTCAACCTGGCCCAGGTCTGACTGTTGTGGCCATCTGGGGAGTGAACCAGCTGATGCAAAATCAATCAGTCTCTCTCTCCCTCCTCCTCTCTCTGTCACTCTGCCTTTCAAATACATAAAAATAAATAATAAAAAAAAAAGAGTATAACTCAGGGGCAGGCTTTGGCTCAGTGGCGAAGATACTTGGTACACACATGTCCCATATTGGGGAACTTCTGTTTGAGTCCCAGTTCTCCCAATTCCAGCTTACTGCTAATGTGCACCCTGGGAGGCAGTGGGTGATGGCTCATCCTGGCTCCTGGCTTCAGACTGGTCCAGCCCCACTGCTGTGGGGAGTGAACCAGCGATGGAAGATCTCTGTCTCTGTCTCGCTGCCTTTCAAAGGAATATATAGAAAGAAAGAAAGAAAGAAAGAAAGAAAGAAAGAAAGAAAGAAAGAGAGATACAGTTCAAATGCCAGGATAAGCCGGGCCCCTCATGGCCTTGTATTTGTCCCCTCTGTTGTGAGCGGTATGCTCCCACCAGACTCTTGTTTTTCCACCAAGATCCAGCTGTTCTGTGCCCCTTCCCCCACCCCTTTTGTTAAAAGCAGCTGTTTTTCCCCTTCCAGCCCTCCAAGTGCTGATTTCATCTCTTTCCTGACAAAAGTTTGGAGCCGGCAGGGAAATGGTTTGGCAGCAAATCAACTCGCGGTGGGAGGAAGGAGCCACGTGGAGAGCGCAGATGCTGGGTGAGGGTCTGGGATGAGGGGTCAGGAGGAGGGCTGGGCGCAGGCTCTGGAGAAGTCCCCGGGGGTCCAGGAGCGGGGAGGGGAACTCCAGGCTCTGTGGCACTCCCCCCACCCAGATGCTCCCAGAGACTCCAGCTAGGGGCAGAGCCCAAGGACGTCTTCCCAGTAGCGTTCCTTCCTCTCCATGCAGCCTGTGAGGGCTGGGGACAAGCCAGCAGGGACACGCAGAGGAGCCACTGGGGCCGGCAGCAGCTGGCTCCTTCCCCACCTCCGCTCTACAGGCAGACTTTTGAGCACAGATGTTTGTTGACTGTGCAGGGAGACTGGGGAGGTAATGAGATGCCTAGGGGATGACCCACGACTAGGGAGCTGGTCAATGTGGCCAATCAGCCCTAGGGCCTACGGGCAGCTAGAGCAGTGTCCACACCCGTGTTGTCTCCCTGGGGGCCTGGGATCGTTCCTGCTGCCACCCACAGTCATCACAGCTCCCTAGTTCTTCTCATCAATACCGTTCTCACCAACTGAGAGCCGAGCCAACGTCTCTGGCTGAGTCCTGGAAAAATTCCTTTCTCCTTGACTCTGCCAAAAAAAAGCGTTGAAAATTTCCAAAAGGAACGTTGAACTGAGACACAGAGTAGGGGAAATGGAGACTTGGAGACATGGGTAGATTCACAAGGCACAGAAGTCTGAATTCACCTTGACCGTCAGTCTCGGGAGGTCCTGCTTGCCGAGAAGTGTGGTGGAAGCCACAGTCCCTGAAATCCCTCAGCTTAGGTGGGCTGGGGTAAAGGTCAGCACACACAGGGAAATCATCCATGGAGGAGGGGCCAGGGGCAGGGCTAGGGGCTGCTTCCTGCCTGGAAGGGGCTCTCCACCCCCTGCCATGCCCTGGCCTCGGGACTTATCCTGCCCCTTCCCCTTCCATGAAAAAAACCCTGAGTTTCCTCCTTCACCGTTTCCTGGAAGTTGCTGGCTCCGGGCTCAGGATGGCCCTTCCTCCCGCCACTCCCACCTCTTCTGCCTGTCTGGTTTTGCGAAGCACAGTCACAGGGCCCAGGCTTTTCTGTCCAGGAGCAGCCAAGCTCTGCTGGGCCCACCAATGGGTCAGTATGGACTCTGTAGGACTCCCTGGTTCCAGGCCTCAATCATTTTGGAGGTCCCCTAAGTGTTTGGTGTCTGACTTGAGCAACTGAACTTAACCTTGGGGAAGCCATGGCTGACCTACCCAAGTGTAACATTTATAAAAGCGTTGTTTTACCATAGTTAATGCCAGGCCGGCGTAGCAGTGTAGTAGGCTAAGCCACTGCCTGCAATATCAGTAACCCCATATGGGCACTGGTTCATGTCCCGGCCGCTCCACTTCCAATCCAGCTCCATGCTAATGGCCTGGGAAAAGCAAAAGAAGATGGCCCAAGTGCTGGGGCTCCTGCTACCCATGTGGGAGACCTGGAAGAAGCTCCTGGGTTCTGGCTTTGGCCTGGCCCAGCCCCAACTGTTGTGGCCATCTGGGGAATGAACCAGAGGATGGGAGCTCTCTCCCTCTGTCTCTTTAGTTCTGACTTTTGAATAAATAAACAAAGTTTTAAAAAGATAATAAAAACCATTAAACAGACAGTGCGTGTATATGTTAATGTAGTCAAATGTGAACATAGGTGGCTTCTTTCCCTGTCTCCTCTTCTCTCTAGAGGCAACCACTGCCTTGTGCATCTCCCAGAGGTAGTTTATGCAAGCGCGTGTATACACACACATATACTCTCTGCTAGTACACACACACACACACACACACACTCTGCTAGTATACACACACTCTCTGCTAGTATACACACACAATGCAAGTATACACACACACTCTGCTAGTACACACACACACAATGCTAGTATACACACACATACTATGCTAGTACACACACTCTGCTAGTGTACACACACACACACACACACACACACACAGAGTTGACTCTCTATCCCAGTTCCACATCCACAAATTCAGCCAACAGCAGATTGAAAATGCTAAAAAACAATTGCAACTGTACTGAACAAATATGGACTTTTTTTCCTTGGCACGATTCCCTCAATAACTCACCATAACAACTATTTGCATAGCACTTACGTTGTATTAGGGATTCTGAGTAATCTAGAGATGACTTAAGGTAGAGGGGAGGATGTGCATAGATTATATATGCAAGTATTACAAGATTTTACCAAAGAGAATTGAGCATCTGTGGATTTTGGTATCTGCAGTTGGTGGGAAGGGGGTTCTTGGAACCAATCCCCCATGGATGCTGTGAGCGTGTGTGTGTATGTGGGGGGGGGGTATGTATACCCATCCAGCTAATGTATTTTGGAAATCATTTACTATCAGCACATAAAGTGCTTCTTCATCACAAAAATGGCTGCAGCATTCCTGTAGGACTGTGCATTTATCTAGCCCCTTCCCTACTGCCAGGCACTGGGCCTGCCTTCTAGCTCACTCGCTCAGGAAGCTTTCCCAGTGTATTGGCAGGTGTGCCGTGCACCTGCAGGACAGCACCCTAGAAGAGGGATTGCTTGGTCAAATATTGCCAGAATGTCCTCTCGAGTGAGTGTATTGCTTTTTGTTCCCATTAATAGTATTTGAGAGTGTCTATTTCTCTATGCCCTCAGAGCACAGAGAGCCAGCCAGCCTTTTGCTGGTCTAAGAGCTAAGTGATTGGTGACACGGTGCTCCGAGGTTCCTGAGGTGGGAATCTACCCAGGCTCCCTGGGATGTTGGTGGCCTTCGTACCCGACTGGCTGAGGGGCAGTGCGGAAGCTGATCAAGAGACCACCCAGCGGCTCCTGGAAGAGAACGAGCAGCTCATCGGCTGTACCGTGGAGTATCAGTACAAGGGCCGGGCGAGCAAGTGCCTCCAATACTGGTGTGTGTTACGTAGAAGTCTCATTTATCTGGCTACCAATGCACAAGCCAGCCCAGCCCATACTTCAAAAGCAGAATAATCTTCCTGTTGGCCATTGTGAAGAGAAATTGAATATAATCAGTTCCTACCAAATGGAGACAGAATCTTTACCAACTCAGCTGCTCAAAACATGAAGGAAACCCCTGTGGCTCTTTTAAAAATGTGAAGAAGGGGCTGGTGCTGTGGTGTAATGGGTGAAGCTACCGCCTGCAGTGCCGGCATCCCATGTTGGTGCTGGTTCGAATCCCGGCTGCCCCACTTCTGATCCAGCTCTCTGCTGTGGCCTGGGAAAGCAGTAGAAGATGGCCCAAGTCCTTGGGCCCCTGCACCTGTGTGGGAGACCTGGAGGAAGCTCCTGGCTCTTGGCTTTGGATTGTCAGAGCTCGGGCCATTGCGGGCCATTTGGGGATTGAAACAATAGGTGGAAAATCTCTCTTTCTCTCTCTGTCTCTGCCTCTCTCTGTAACTCTGCCTTTCAATAAAATAAATAAATATTTTTTAAAAATGTGAAGAAGGCTGCAGACTTAACTGTGTTCTCAGTATAAATATTTGTCTTAATAATTAAGCAGATCCCTCAATAGATTGGGCCCAGACATCCTTTCCTGAAATGAGAGCACGTTTGCAAAACAGACACAGTGGACAGCTTCAAGGCTACGTTTTGGCTCCAGCCTAAGAAGTTTCTACTGAGTGTTGGGTGATCAGCAGGAATTGGTGAGACTCTTGACTCTGACCTTGCCAGATGGACACGTGGCTGTGTGGCTCCTTCCGACCAGTTTGTAAATGTCCTCTCTCTGACGACTCTTTTCCGGTTGCTTTGAAATAAAACTTGCTTTTTCACAATAAATAAAAAAATAAAATAAAAGCAATTGGCGTGCAATAGTAATGACAGGGGCTGGTGTTGTGGTGTAGTGGCCTTCCCCACAATACGCCCTACCGGGCCACCAGAACCCCACTCCCTGCCTCTGTCTCCTCCTTGGTTCTCATGGGCACTGTGGAACCTTCCTGCCCAGCAACGCTGCCGATACCACTCCACGCTACGCAGCCGCAGACAGGAGAGTTTTAACAACAAAGGTGACATGGTGGTCAACCGAAGCTCTGGGCTCCCCACCAAATCCAGTCAGTACCTCCACGTGGTTCTAGCCACGTCCCTGGGTCCCCAGCGCTGAGCCTGACTGCTGCTGCCCCCCTGCAGGCGATGCCTTCTGTAGCATTCACTCTGTAAAGGCCACCTGTGCAATTGCTTCTGGTTGGTTTTTCACCCCCTAAATCGGAGTTTATTCAAAGAAAAATGATTCTCGCATGGCGTTTGAGAAAGGTCAGCGCATTGCAGGGCTGGGAATGTTCATGGGTCTTGGAAGGAAGACGCGGGAGGCTCGGAGCAGGCAGCTTCCTCTCTGCTTTGCAGTGATCTCCGCCCAGCCTAGGGGGGCCCAGGTCAGCGGGGCTCACTGGTTCCTCCCGTAGAGCCGAGGGCTGGCCGCAGATCAGCTGGCCACCAGGCTAAGCGAGGGACTTGTTTCTCACTGAAATATGAAGAGCTGGAATCTACTAACCCTTGGAGGGATTTTTTCCTTTCATAAGTAGATTTTAAAATATTTTAAATTTTCTGTTCATCTTAATTTCCCCCTGACCTTTCATTTTGAAATGTTTTAAACCATAGAGAAACTACAAGAACAATCACTGTTAAATTCACTAACACTCAAACGTTTTGCCTCATTTGCTAACTCTCTCAAAAAATATGCACAGGCCAGAAAATATCAGGAATAATTTTTTGCCTTTCTCTCTTTCTCTCTCTCTCTCTGTCTCTGTCTCTCTTTCTTCTTCTGGGCCTTTTCCTCTTCTGTCCTTTTCTTCAGTATTTGAGAGCAGGTGGCACATAGCCCAACATTTTGCCCAGCTGTTTCTGGACGTGTCTATGACGATCATGGACATTTTCCCACAGAAGAACAAAACTGTCACCACACTTGACGGATTTAATTAACGTAGATACAAACCCAGTTTCCGTAGGCGGCCTCCTTTCTGATTCTTGCTGGTTTTTTTTTAAATAATTATTCTAAAAGATTTATTTATTTATTTGAAAGGCAGAGAGAAAGAGACAGACATAGAGGTCTTCCATTGTTAAGTTCACTCCCCAAATAGCTACAACAGCCGGGGCTCGGCCAGCTGAATCCAGGAGCCTGGAACTCCCCTCCAGGTCTCCAATGTGGGTGGTGGGGGTCCAACTACTTGGGCCATCATGTACAGCCTTCTCAGGTGCATTAGCAGGGAGCTGGATTGGGAGTAGAGCAGCCAGGACTTGAACCAGTACCCATACGGGAGGCCAGTGTTGCAAGCAGTGGCTTAACCTGCTGTGCCACAGCACTGGGCCCAGACCTTACCATTTACCGTATGTAGAGCCAGGACCTGTCAGCTCAGTCACTGGCACCATGACCCTGACCTTTTAAAGTCTTCAGACCATTTGTTTTGTAGAATATGCCCCAACTGGATTTGACTGATGGTCCTCAGGAAGTTTTGGGTTGAAGTGGCTTTTTGGTTTGTTTTTGCTTTTTGTTTTGGTCAGGATTCATCTTCATTTTTCTTCCATTGTATTTTTGTTTCATTCTTTTTTTTTAAAAAAAAAAGATATATTTATTTATTTCAGAGGCAGAGAGGGAGAGACAGAGACAGAGACAGACAGAGAGAGAGAGAGAGAGAGAGAGAGAGGCCAGGGCTGTGCCAGACTGAAGCCAGCAGCTCCTTCTGGGACTCCCATGTGGGTGCAGGGGCCCAAACACTTGGGCCATCTGCTACTGCTTTCCCAGGTGCATTAGCAGGCAGCTGGATCAGAAGTAGAGTGCCTGGGACTTGAACTGGCACCCATATGGGATGCTGGCACCACAGGCAGACACTTAATCTACTACACCACAGCACCTTCCATTCTATTTTTGAATAGCTGTTACACTTGCGTGAAATAAAATCCAGGATGTAGACAGTACACATTCCGAAAGGTCTCCCTCTTTCTCTGGTCCCAGCAGGGCCCCAGGTCCTTCCCTGGACTGGCAAAGCCCGCTCACACGTCCTGTGTCTTCTTCCAGAGCTGACCACAAGAAGCTCTGTGATGGTGGCTCCCACGTCTCTCACCAGACTGTTCCATGGGCGGGTATGTCTGATGTGCCTCTTGCTTGCGTGGAATCCCTGGAAAGCTCTAGGGGGGCCACCTAAGCACCTCACTCAGCCCACAGGACCGAGCTCTGGCCTGGCCCACTCTCAACCTTGCCCTACTCCACTGGTGCCTGGAGAGGCCCCGGCATTGCAGCCTCTGCACACCCCCGCCATGCGCCGCTCCCTCTCTCTGCACTGCTCTTGCTGCCCTTGGCCCAGCCAGCTTCCCAAGGTCCCCTGTCCCACCCTGCCCTCCCCTTGCTCCAGGAGGGAGACACTGCTTCTAATTCGGGCACCGAGTGCATTGCCTGGTGCCTAGCAGGTTTTTGGTAAATATTTATATAGAGAGAGTGAATATGTGTGAATCCTTCGTGTCATGGCAGCTGGGTTAAGAGAGCCAGGGCTTGAGGGTGGAAGTGGAAGACATACCCTCCCCTCTCTCGCTCCATTGCCCAGCTACAGCAGGTCAAGTTCAGGGCCAAGAGGAAGAAGCCACACCTCCCCATGCTGGCCAGTACTCAGCAATGGTGCCAGTGAGGAACAGGGTCCCCTCGCCAGGCCTGGACCATGGGCTTCCTGGGAGGGGGAAGGGAGGACAGAGCAGGGAATGGAAGCAAGGCGTGCAACCAAACAGGAATGAGAACCGGGGTTCCTCAGAAGGGCCCAGGCTGGAGTGGGAGTTATCCTGTGGATGTACAGCTCCGGCCTCCATGAAGAGTCCTGCTCCACCCTGCCAGGAGCTCCTGGCAATGCCTGGCTGAGGGCACGGCCAAGGCCAGGCAAGGCTATGACAAGTCTCCCTGGTGGAGGTGGCAGGAGGTAGAGACGGTGACTTCTGCAGTGTCTTTTGGGCCACACAAGATTGTCTAAGGGAGGACAATCTGCAGACAAAGGGTCCCCGTGTTTTGCCGGTGGTTGGAGAGAAAGCCAAGTCCACCAATAGCACCGTCCCTCCCTCTCCCTGCCCTTGGGGGTTGAAGCACAGGACAGCGCCAGCAAACCTGTACCTACTGTAGAGCTGTGGAGGTGGGGAGGGAGTGGATGGTACTGGAGGAAAACAAAACCCAGCAGGATAATCACAGTGCATGCAAGAAGCTTAGTTTTGTTTTTTAGATTTCTCTGCAGCTTTTGATTTTTTTTTAACCACGGATGCCAATTATTTGCATACTTTTATATAAAGAAAAGTATCGTTCCAAAAATTCTGTACACACGCCCTGAAAGCACTGGTTCCAAACCTTGGCTGGGTGTTGGAATCCAGGGAGCTGCCTGCTCCCACCCCCAAGCAATTTGTGTTTAACTGCTTGGGGCTGTGGCCTCCCCCTGCCCTGACTACAGTGTGCAGCCATGTTGACAGCCGCCGACCCCAAAGGTGTACGCTCCAGAGAGCCAGAATGAAAAGATGACAGATGGGGGCAGGCTTCTGGTGCAGCTGCTAAGTGGCTGCTTGGGACACCAGCTTCCCTTATTGGGGGGCCTGGTTCGAGTCCTGGCTCCTCTGCTTCTGATACGGCTTGCTGCTTATGTGCACCTGGGGAGGCAGCCGTAATGGCTTAAGCACTTGGGTTGGATCTTGGAGCTTTTAAAAATTTATTATTTATTTATGTTCACTTTATTGGAAAGACAGAGAGACCAAGATTTTCCATCCAGGGTTTACTTCCCCAAACGCCTGCAACAGCCAGTGCTAGCCCAGGCCAAAGCCAAGAAGAGCCCAGGTCTTCCATGTGGATGACAGGGAACCCAATGCCTGAGCCATCAACACTGCCTTGCAGGAAGCTGGACTGGAACCCAGGGCTGACACAGGGGATGCAGGCGTCTCCAGCGGCAACTTAGCCCGTGTACCACATGACTGCCGCAGGATGTTGGAGCATTTCGGATTCGGGATTTTCAGATACTCAATGTTCAGCCAGGAGAGATAAGACAGCAACTCAGATCTGTCAGCAAAGATGATGGTGAAAGATGACAGTGTTCCGTGTTGTCTGACGCTCTCGCTCCCAGGCCCACTGCCCAGAGACAGCGTGTTTTGCTAGTTTCTGCCGGAGGTTGTTCCTCCGTATTAGTACTCCCACTTCTAAGTGACCGTCTTGAGACACTAGCTGCTCGCTCTCCAGTACGTAAGATGAGGCTATGGGGCTGGCGTCGTGGCTCAGCCGGTTAAGCTGCTGCTCCCTGCCTCCCATACTGGAGTTCAGTTCGAGTCTTGGTTCCTCTGCCTCCAATCCAGCTCCCTGCTAATGCGCCTGAGAAAGCAGCAGAAGATGGTCAAGTACTCCGGGCTCCTGCCACCCGCGCGTGGGAGACCTGGAGGGAGTTCCAGGTTCCTGGCTTTGGCCTGCCCCAGTCCCAGCTGTTGTGGCCATTTGGAGAGTGAACCAACGGATGGATGATCTCTGTCGCCATCTCTATCCGTCACTCTGCCTTTCAAATAAACAAATAAATCTTTACAAGAAAACAGAGATGAGGACAGCTCACTTCCCCGACGTCTGTGCCTTCTTTAACTATTTGCTTCCTGCGTGAGCACTTCTTGGGCCAATGAAGATTGCTGAGCTCTCTCATTTCCCACCGTAGAAGCTGAGGATGTTACCCTCCCACCTTTCGTTCTTTTTAAAAAAATTATTTACTTATTTGAAAGTCAAAGTTACAGAGTAAAGGGGGGGAGAGAGAGAGAGAGAGAGAGAGAGAGAGAGAGAGAGAGAGAGAGAGAATCTTCCATCCACTGTTTCACTCCCTTAGTAGCCATAAATGGCTGGGGCTGGGCCAGGCTGAAGCCAGGTCTCCCTTGTGGGTGCAGGGGACCAAGCACTTGGGCCATCCTCTGCTGCTTCCCCAGGCTATTAGCAGGGAGTTAGATCAGACATGCAACAGCCAGGACACACACTGGCATGCATATGAGATGCTGGCATTGCAGGCAGCAGCTTTACTTGCTGTACCACAGCCGCAGCCTCCTCATTTTTTGTTCTTCCCCTCAGTAATCCCATGGTTTGTGACTCCATGCATTTAACCAGGGATCCTCAGGCTTCCAGAGAGAATCCACATGAGCTCTTAAAATTAGGCACAGAAGTGTGTGTGTGTAT